TTAACCTGCATGCTGTACAAAAAAAGGACACAAACCCAACTTTAAAAACAGTGTATAAGTAAAAACAGATAAAATATAAAAAGCACAAATCAAAAAAAAAAATAGAAAGAAAATTTTACAAGTAAAACATCCCTTGAATTCTGTCCGGTTTCTAGACTAGGACCGAAAGATTAATTCCCCGAAAATCTACTGTCTTAGAACGTTGTTCCACCAAACCAAACACAACATTGAGCTTAACTTAGGCCATTTTCAATTTGAAAAAATAAATAAAAAATCAAATTCTGATCTAATGCAATATATCTATAACGTTTCTCAGTTTCCAAACAGAGCTAGAATCAAATTCTACAAACACTTAAGAATTGAAATTTAAAAAAAAAAAATTGATTCTAAAAAGTAAGGCCGTTTAGGGATTGAAGATAGATGATCTGCAAACAAGTCATGGTATTCGATATAGAAACAGAAAAATTAAGTGAGAAAAGACGTGAGTGAAGTGAGATTGGTTCACATACCAATGAGCGATTGACGGAGAGATCGGTGAAAGGAAAGAGAAAATCTCCGACCACCGCGGGGACGTAGAGTCTCGAGAGGAAGACGATTGGAAGTGTTTGGGAAGAAGGACAAATCGGCGAGGGGAGAAGTGCTCGATGGAGAGAGGAAAAGAGAGTTTGCAGGGGGCTGAGTTGTAAGGGGAGGCAGTGTGAGATGTGACCCTTCTTAGGGCCTGTTTGGATGGGGCATTTTCCCCCTAAGTTTTCTCTTTACAAAAAGAGCAATGCTACGGGCAGTCTCCCATCTGCACTCTCGAGTACTTGCTGTTCTGTTATTGACATGTGGCAATATAATTTTTTTTTTTTGAAAAAAGTAATGGTTAGAGATATTAATATGTTAGAGGTGTTAATGTGTAGGGAAGATATTGAATCCAGAACATGAAATACAAACCATAATTTACCTCAAAAAAAACAACAAGTGATCGTTGCGTCACGCACGTGAAATGCCACGTGGCAACATAATTGATGTTTCAATCAGCGACCTGTTGCCTTTACTCTTACTTTTATTTTTATTTTATTTTCATTTATATTTAAAATTTTGTCAGTTATAAGCTGTATTTATTAGTTATTATTATAAAAAATAAAATATATATTATTATTTTATTAATTACTCTATTAAAATTATTTAAATGATATTATTGTTAAAAATAATAATTTTTTATATATAAATTAATAAAAAAAATATGTA